AGCTACAGTGTCTGCAGTTGCAGTGGGATTACCTCATGGTGATGGCAGGAAGGTGTTGGTGGCTGCAACTGCCTCCTTGGTGTCTGTGGTGTCCTTGGCAGCAGTGGGGTTACCTTGTGGGTATGTCTGCAGTGTCTGTGGCTGCAACTGCCTCCCTCACATCTGCAGTGTCCTTGGCAACAGCAGGGTTAACTTGTGGTGGCAGTGGTACTGGTGGCTGCAACTGCCTACCTCGTTTCTGCATTGTCCTTGGTGGTATCCTTGACAGCAGTGGCATTACCTCATGGTGGCGGCAGCAGTGCCAGTGGCTGCAACTGCCTCCCTTGTGTCTGCAGTGTCCTTGGCAGCAGCAGGGTTGACTTGCTGTGGTGTTAGTGGTGGAGGTGGTTGCAGCTGCCTCTCTCATGTCTGCAGAGTCTGCAGCTGCAGCAATGGGCCACCCACAAGATTGCTGCTCTGCGTGGAGCTGCTCTGCTGTGGGTGATGGTTCTGGAACTGGACAATGGCTCCAGCGACTGTGGCAGTGGTGGCAGTGGACCCATTTCAATCTTCTCTGGGAGGAATGTGTTCTGGGCACCTCAAATCTACCATCTTCCCAGAAGTCTCTACCTATCGTTACATATTTTGAATTTGTATATTTACAATTTTATATCCTTCCTTTTCATTTAATGTTATATCTTTTGGACACTTGTTTGTTATCTATTGACCAAAAACATTTAAAATGGTACCTAATAGTCAATTGAATTGATGTATCACAGTTACTAAAACAATCATTTTGTAGTATATTTAAATTTCCTTTTAAATATAAATAATGCTGCTATGAACATTTTTCTGCAAAAAGCTCTTTTTTTTTTTCGGGATAAATTCCCAGAAGTGGATCAAAGCGAATGAACAATTTAGGCCAATTACTTTAAGTACTGTAATCAAGTAGGTTAGAAACACTGGAGAGTAGGTTATTAAGGAAATGCTAGGGTATTTTCGTAGGGATAAAAAGAAATAAGAGCTTCAGTTAACTGAGGCATACTGAGAAGCCCTTGTCCTGAAGGTGCTGAGTTTGTCTTTTCCCACATAGACAGGGAAGTAGTCTTGGTTCCTGATGCCTCTACCACAGGGTGGGAGTTGTGGAGATCACAAGGGGGCTTCTGTTCTTGCATTCTTTTGATCCCATAGGATTATTCATTTAAGAAATGGTCTTCTGTACATACTGTGATACTGAGATTGCCTACTTTTCATGATGAACTTAAAACTTGAGGTGATTCCTCTCTGTCATAAGTAGGCAGGTAGGTTTTCCACAATGACCCCAAGCAGGCAACTCCCTACCCCAGTCCCATATACTGCATTTTTGAGACAGCCTTTTGCTGTCACTGCCAGAAGATGTTTTTCTTTCAAGAATCTTGTATCTGTCAGCTTTGCTGAAGTAACAACCCCCAAATCACGGTGATCTATGCCATAAACATAAATTTCTCTGTCGTTTTCCAATTGGCGGTGGTAGCCTGTTCCACATGAGTTCTTATTCCAGATTTTGGGCAGAAGGAATAGTCCTCTCCAAGGACCGCTGGGCAGAAAAGAGGCCAAGCCCACCATGCACATTTAAAGCTGCTGCTCAGGTGCAGTGGGTGTCATCACTACCCACATTTTATTGGCCAAAGCATATCACATGGCCAAGCCCAATAGAGGGTGGGATGTGTACTTCCCCCACACACATGGCAAAGGTAGGGATGTGTAGTAGAGGGTAAATTGTTGTGAACAATGGTATAGTCTTCCATGGGCTTACTGGGGATTGGCCTCCTTGTTTCCTTCCATCACCCATCCATCCCCCTGTCTACTGCAGCACAGAAACCTCACAACCTTGTAGGTCATGGCTTGTGCATGACCTGCATCAACCCTAGTGTGAGAGAATCTCTGGAAACAAAGGATTTGCTAACCTAGAATGTGGCCGATGCAGTCTTGGGCCTCTTCATCACTGTGGCAGATGGGGTTTTCTGCAGAGGAGCACAACAGTATCTCCCCTCTCACGTGCTCTCCTGCAATGTTACCCTGCCCCTCCCTGTCAAGGGGTGGCGTCTCATTCCCCTCCCCATTAATCTCAGCAAGCCTATGATTCACTTATAAGCAGCAGAATGCTCTAGAAAGACACTGCATGTCTTTCAAGGTTTTGCAGCTTCTTCCCAATTCTCTGGGAACATTTTTTTCTGGGAGGTGTTGGTGCCATGTAGGAAGCCCAGCTACACTGAGGGATGTTGGTTAAGCATTCTGGTTGACAGTTCCAGGTGAGCTTGGCCTTTTAGTCCTCCCTGTTGTGAGATGAATTATCTCTGTCAGTCCTTGTTATTGTTCATCTTGGATTCAAAGTCCAGGGAAAGATTCTGATCAGCCCAGCTTGGATCAGGTGCCTTGGTCAAGGTAGGGTTCAGTGCCTGTCAATCATCCTTTCGGGGAAAGTGTAGCCTGAAAGGAGGATTGAGGCCAGTTACCAATGAATGGGGAATGGATGCAGGTCAGGCCCAGCAGGTGCTCACAACGGATATTGCCTGAGTCAGCTTTTGAAAATGCAAATCTAATTGTCTTACTTCATCATTCTCAAAGATGTCAGGAACTCTGCATGGTTTTTAGAAGAAAGTTTATACAATTTAGCTTAGCATGTGAGGCTCCTCAGGGTTGGCCCTCACCCATCTCTCTAGCCCAGCAGTGGTCTTCTTACTAGGGCATTTGTGATTTCTTGGGGAGAAAAAAGATCTCATCCACTTTCAAGGCTTTAAATGCAATCTGTATGCTTAGGACTGACAATTTATGTCTCCACTGGAATGCGTCTCTGAATCTAAGCTCCTTCTCAACACCTCTGCTTGGATGTCTAATAGACATCCCAAAGTTAGCACATCCAAAACGGAACTCCTGATCCTCCCCCGAAACAAAAATAAAAACAAAAAACCCCTGCTTCTTCTGCAGTCTTCCCCATCTCAGGAAACAGCAACCCCTCCTTCACTTTTCTCAGATCCAAAGCCTTGAATCTTTCTTGACTTTTGTTTGTTTCCTACTATTCATTAACAAAACTTGTCAACTGTACCTTCAGGATATATCCCCAGACTGAGACTCAGGATCAGAATATAACAAGACTCTCCTCTTCAATGCCTCCCCCAACCCAAAACACCACTTGTCACATTGTCACCAGGCCTGGTGTAAAAAGCCTCCTAACTGCTCTCCCTGTTTCTGTCCTTACCAAGCAGCAATGACCCTGTTAAAACATGTCACATTGCACCACATTTCCAAGTCTAAGCCACCTGTGGCTTCCCATCTTCGTGGATGCCTGAGTCCTGACAATGGCTCTAAGTCCTCGTGTGACCTGCCCCTTACCCTCTGACCTCACCTCTGCCATCCTCCTCTCTCTCACCCCCCTTTGGCTCACTGGCTGCCTGACGTTCCTCCATTAAGTCAGGCAGGCTTCTGCCTCACAGCCTTGCTCTGCCTGGAAGGTTCTTCCCCCACATATCTGATGGCTTGCTCCCTAGACGGTGTCTGACACAAGGCAGGTGTGCAGTTAAAATGTGCTCAGTGAGTGGGTTCTGACAGCCCTGGGACACGCTCTTCTCTCCTCCATACCAGGATAACTTCTTTGGGTTCCTTCAAAGTCAGCTCAAATCTCAGCTTCGTTAGGAAGATTCCCGTGTGATTGAAATGCCTCCTTTCTCTACTCCTTGAGGAAAAGGATCTTGTCTTATTTGTCACCGTATCTAGTATATAGCAGGCTTATTGCCAAGTGGTAGACCCCCAGTGGATATTTCCCTCAATCTCCTCTTTGGTATAGTGCTTATTTGTGATTCATAGGCAGTGTGTGCACACACATGAAACTGCAGAAAACGTGGTAGGGTCTGCAGGGAAAAGCGGGCCTCTGTTCCCCACGTATTCTCAGCAGAGCCCATCGCTGTTTGGGTGTCTGCCTGATATCGTCTGTGCATAGACAAGCAGGTATACTTCAGTAAGTATTTAAGAAAAAATTTAAGTGGATGCAGATAATTGCCCTGATGTTGAAAATACTTAAATGGTTCACTTTGAATAACCAGTGTACTTGTTAAGTAGTAAGATTTCTGGATATTCTTGTTTTCCTGAGAAACACAGGTTTACCCTGAGATCACTTTTTAAATCTTTCTAAAACCCACTGGTTCCTTTCTTACCTCACTAGGTGGAATACACTGAATATCAGCCAGTTTGCCTCAGACCTCACAAGAACTGGTCGAACCCAGCCCCTGCCCCACATCCCCCTCCCCTGTCCTGTGCTGCGTCATCCCTTTCTGGGATCACTGTGGTTACTTCTCTGGTCTCCCTCTTTGGTCTCTTCTCAAAAGAGCAGCCAGAGGGATCCTTTTTGAACGTGAGCCAGACCATGTCATTTCTCTGCTCACCCCTCTGTTGGTTTCCTCTCCTACTCAGAGTAAAAGCCCTGGTCCTTATTGTGACTGTCAGGCCCTGCGTGGCTGCCGAGGTCCAGCCACACTGGCCTCGTTGCTGTTCACTGAACCTGCCGGCTTCCCTCCTGCGAGGGAGCCTCTGCTCTTGCTCCTTCCTCTGCCCAGAGTGCTCATCCCCAGCCGGCTGCAGAGCTCATCTCCTGTCTTTTACATCTTTGGTCAAATGTCCCCTCATTAAGAGAAGTGTGACTCTGGATATAAAATGACACTCCCAGTATTCTCGCCCTTTATTCTGCTTTATGTTTCTATACCTAATGTGCTTAATTGTTCACGTGCCTATTGTCTGTTTCTCCCCATGTGAGCTCCATGAGAGCTGGCAATTGGTCTTTCCTGTCCACTGCTGAGTTCTTGCTCTTGAACACAACAGTCGGTTTCTTGTTGATTGATGTAAAGAGTCTGAGCTTGCAGCATATATTGGAAGTAGAGGTCCTAGATAGGGTTTGGCACCCTTTAGACAGGCGTTTCCTTGTTTCTTTCTCTCTATCCATCTCTCCACACCCCAAAAACAGCAGTGTGAGACTTGGGGGCCCCAGGAAAATGGCCCTGGCAGCCCTGACTCAGGAGGTGCCTCTTCAGCTCAGGTAAATGTATCTAGCTGTCTGCACATTCTCCCTGAAGCTCAGCAAGTCCCAAACAAGACTCACTTCTAGCTCCCCACTCCAGCCTCACTACCTGCTCTGGGATGTGCCACCACTTCTTCCTTTATGGTCAGTCTTGAAATTGGGGTTGTCCTTGCATCTTTTTTCCCCTCTGCTCGTATCTAGTCAGTCACTAAGTCCCACCAATTCTACCTTCTGTGTTCTTCCATATTGATTCTTCTCAGCTGTCACCGCCCCTGCGTAGAGAGTCATCACTATATTTTCCTGGCCATGGTCTAACATGGTCTCCCAGCGGATTCCCCTGCCTCTACTTTCTTTCCCTTTAACCCTTTAACCCCCCGGCTTCAGTCAAAGGGGTCTTTGCAAAGCCCAGATCACATCATGGGTCTCCCTGGCTTAAAATTTGTCAGTGACTTCCTGTCACCCCTGAAGGTTTCTCCAAGCTCAGTCATATGTGTATCACCTTGATGATTTGCCTTACTCCTGTACCTCCTTTCCTATTAATATTTACCTAAATGTGGTCATATTTGACTTTTTCCCTAAGTAGTAAATCCTTAAAGTCATGGGGTGATAATCATTTTTTTTAATGTACATTAAAATATGTAGCTATTTCATACAACGTGTTGGTCCACATGCCATTTAACATCCATTGCATGTACCATGGGTGATGCGCCCCTTCTTTGTGTGGCCCTTGTGTTGCTGCTCCCCTTGGGCCAAATGCTCCTGGAACTGTATCTCCACTTTGAGCTTCCACTGAAATGGGGCCCACAGTGTCTCCATGCTTTTGTTTGTGAAGTCCCCACCACAGCCTTCTAGTTTCTCTGCTTGATAATGCCTGCC